AGGGGGGGGGTAGGGGGGGGTGGCTCGGGTAGACCACGAGTTTCCAACGCCAGCGGCGGTGGCTTGTCAGGCAGAGGGAGGGGGGGGGGCTCTCGCAGTGGCGCGGGTAGAGCGAGGGGCGCCAACAGTGGCTTCCGGGAGGGGAGGGGGGCAGGCAGATGGCCAAGTGGCCGGGGGCGGGGTGGCGGGGGAAGACCCAACGATGGTCGGGGGGTGGGTGGCAGAGGCGGGGGCGAGTACCGGGGGCGGGGGGAGGAATACATGGAGTAGCTTGAAGGGTTGACTCAACCGCACTTTCTGTGCGTTGGCTGCTCTGCTGTTGTCGGGAGCGATCGCGGACTGAGTGCTATGCAGTATTATGGTGGAGGGGCGGCGTTCTGTGGCGCACCGATCCGTCACTGGGTGAAATCATGCACGCAAACGAGATTTGTGTATACCATAGGTACACAGACGTTTTTTGGTGTGGAGGAACGTTAAATAACCGAGCGGCAATAACGTTGTGAAGTACCAAGATTGAACCAAGGGGGTGTACCTCATTCTCTCCGGCCCGTGATGGTGACCCCTAGTCTCAGTTGTTACCTCGCATAGCGCGCAGAGGGAGTGGAGGACTCCAGAATATCTGTCGTTGATTTCTATTGACTTGCGGACCCCTCGGGGCCATTTTATTTGAGTGTACCTTTTTAGGGTATGTTAGCCTGCGACCACGGGAATCGACCGCGTCGAGTGTTGGATCAGTACGGACATAGGAAGGTACTGGGTAGAGAGAGATCGGAACGGTTTTTAAGGTGAAGAAAACAATAACAACAACAACAACAACAACAACAACAACAACAATCACGCGTGCTGGGTATGCGGTGGCGCTATGCATTGGTGTGACCCTCGATTTCGTCAAGACGGAGGTGGCGGTGGGTGTGACGGGGACGGGTGTCGAACACCGCCATACGCTATCGGTGGTTGAGCAAACAGACAATGCTGTGCACGTCGATGATTGCCGACCTGATCAAACAAATAAATCTTGCGCAGATTAGCACGGTGGCCAAAGGAGAGAGCCCTTATATGATAGTTCCAAACAGACGAACACCATGAAAAGTAGGACTTCCACAGGCAGAATCCAACTGACTGACAAACCCGAGCTCGGAAGTTGTTTTTTATCTGGGACGATAAGGCCTCCATTAGCGGTTGGAAATATTGCAATCTTGGTTACCAACAGTACCGAGATACGAACACCATTAGGGAGGCGTTTTCTGATGACTACACTCTCGCAACGTTGTCGCCCGCCCCCGCTCTTCATTTGTTGACAACCTGTCAGTGCCTCTTCCCATCTGCGGGCGTATGTTCGGGCGGTCGATTCCTCTCTTTGAGTCCTCTCTGTCGGTCCCGCGTTCCGAAAACGCGGCAGCCGCGTTCTCGCCCAGTTCGCGGCCGCTACAGGAAGCCGTGCGTTAGCCTTGGGTGAGGGTTAAGGCCGGGTTGGGTTGGGTCAGCCACGGTTTGTGACACATCCAGCGTGCGGAGCCTGGGTTCAACATCCGGTCGGACCTCAAGAGTCGCCAACAGACCGTGAATAGACCTCCCACCCTCGCTCGGCGCAACCTCGACCGATTCACAAAAAAAAAAGAGTACTATATCTTATTAGCATGTTGCCTGAACCCCGTTTCCAAACTGACAGTCGGGAAGGCAGCTACCTCGCTATTTAGCCCCACAGGCCGTGGCTATTGATACATACACAAAACAACATTCTGTGATTCATGTGGGATGGGCTGCGGGAGACGCACTAAGTATTTGTCTCGCGGAGGAATCCGCGAGATACAAGACGAAAACCACAAAAAAGACCCAAAAAACAGTCAGAACAGAAACGAAGCGGGCGGTATCGTATGAAAAAAAAAACTGAAGGACCGACTTCAAATATGCCAGGTTACAAAGTCATGCATGCAGATGACGCGTTTTCCCGTTCGCATGAAAAACGAACAAAAAGAACGAGCTTCGCACGTGAAACGACACAGATACTAACAAGAAATACAGCGTCGACGTCTCATGATACACCAAGCTCGACAAGCACATCTACGTCACAACCATCGGACGGAAATCAAATATTAAACACCAAAGAGGACCAAATATGTACGAATGCAAAAAAAATACAAGCTGCGAAGAAAACATGTCAATATACATCAACAAGCCAAGATTGCAAAATATCGAACACGAAAAAATCAAAGAACAAAACACCAACGTATGATATGCGTGCGCTCGGTCTCGGCTACCCCTCCAGCATCGGGACATAAAACCTTCGAACACAACACGAAAAAACATGTTCCCCCATGAAGGGCACACATCAACCAAACCTAACCCGAAAAAGAACAAAAAAACACCCACGTATGATATGCGTGCGCTCGGTCTCGGCTACCCCTTCAGCATCGGGACATAAAAACTTCGAACCAAACGCGAAAAAACGGACGGAAATCAAATATTGAACACCAAAGCGGACCAAATATGCACGAATGCAAAAAATATACAAGCTGCGAAGAAAACATGTCAATATACATCAACAAGCCAAGATTGCAAAATATCGGACACGAAAAATCAAAGAACAAAACACTAACGTATGATATGCGTGCGCTCGGTCTCGGCTACCCCTTCAGCATCGGGACATAAAAACTTCGAACCAAACGCGAAAAAACGGACGGAAATCAAATATTGAACACCAAAGCGGACCAAATATGCACGAATGCAAAAAATATACAAGCTGCGAAGAAAACATGTCAATATACATCAACAAGCCAAGATTGCAAAATATCGGACACGAAAAATCAAAGAACAAAACACCAACGTATGATATGCGTGCGCTCGGTCTCGGCTACCCCTCCAGCATCGGGATATAAAAACTTCGAACACAACACGAAAAAACATGTTCCCCAATGAAGGGCACACATCAACCAAACCCAACCCGAAAAAAAAACACCAACGTATGATATGCGTGCGCTCGGTCTCGGCTACCCCTTCAGCATCGGGACATAAAAACTTCGAACACAACACGAAAAAACATGTTCCCCAATGAAGGGCACACATCAACCAAACCCAACCCGAAAAAAAAACACCAACGTATGATATGCGTGCGCTCGGTCTCGGCTACCCCTTCAGCATCGGGACATAAAAACTTCGAACAAAACACGAAAAAACACGAACGTATGATATGCGTGTGCTCGGTCTCGGCTACATCTCCAGCATCGGGACATATAAACTTCGAACAATACACGAAAAAAAATTTCCCTCATGAAGACACGCATCGACCAAGCCAAACGGTATCATTCCTCCACACTGCCCAAAACACACGTACCTTCACAACCAACCACCCGTTCAGTTTCCCGCATCACCCCCTGTTGTCCCGATTGGCCTATATGTACACGCAGCCAGCTATTTAGAATCCGTTTCTTCTGCTGCACTACGAAAAAAGGCGCGGTAACGCCCATAGGCGTCCGCCTTCCTAAAAGTGGCATGCACATGTCTCAGGTGTGCCACTGCGAAGCGACGAAACTTCCGCCGCCATCATCCCCCACCCCCGATGTTGTCGTTTTCGCCTACTCCGTGATTCTCGCGCTCCCCGTCGAGACCGATATAGCCCCACCTGGACCAACTACTCGAACAAGGAGCCTTTGACCGCACCAGAGCATGTTGCCGCGAGCCTACACCACCACAAACAGCAACGCCCAACGCGCATGCCACACACCAATCAATACACGGAATACGCCCACACGTCTATCCACATCACCATCCTACTGAGTGGCACGAAAAGAGCGGCTTGCCGCTACATGCCCTTTCGCCATTTGATCTGGTCATAGCCCCGGAAAAATCACCCCCACCAGTCTTTGAATCGCCCCCCTCCCCCTTTACAATACGACTGTTGGTGTAAACCCCCATGTGTGTGCTGTGTCATGTTCGGCGAAGCACCCCGGGTTCGAGATCACTTCGTGTAATCACGGTCGAAAAAAAAGAAAACGGGACATATACATGCTGCCGTAGTCTTTGCGTTTCTCCTCACAGAGAACAAAATCAAACAACCACGAGCCTCCACGCCCTGCACCCGTTACTTCCCGTCTGCCCAAGCAAGTGCCGTTCAATTGACACATATGCACATGGATAAAAGCTGCACGACTTCTGTAATCGTGCACGCTCAACGAATCGAGGTGCGACTTGACGACACAAAAACGACGGCACTTGCCCACCCAACCCGCCCCTTTGCACACCGCCATTTGATTTTTTTTAGGTACCTAGAGTGAGGTGTCTTACTACTCGGACCAAAAGTTTAAAAGTGTGCCACCCAACAAGAGCGCGAAAACTCTGCCGGATGAAAACCACCAACATGTCGCGGTGCGAAAAGAGGAAGACACCGCCGCCGCCGCCGCCGCCGCCGCCGCCGCGCGCGCTCGCTCGCTCGCCCCCATCTCGGAGGAACCCACCAACCATCATACCGCGACCAAAACCGACAAAGTATTTCCGGGAGCTTTCACAACAATATTAAAAGCTCGATTAGCGGCGCGACTTGTCCTTTTGAATCGACAGAACAAAAGCACGTGATAAGAGGAAAAAAAAAAACTAATTTTCTCAACAGTTTTGAAGCTCCATCCGCCATGTTGCACTGCCACCTGTTCTCAAGAGTCGGATTGTAAGTACCGCATATCTATGCTCCTGGCGAGGAAAAACACGACAGTTCTTTCTAGCGGGCTTCATTGGGCCCTCCACGCAACAGCCCAAGTGCCGCGGAATACTACCTGCACCGAATTCCGCCGACTTGAGCACGCACGCGCAGCACAAGCAGCAGCAGTCTCACGTCTCAGAACACATTGTCTGCGGTAAAAGAGCCGTCCTTTGCCTCTGCACCACGCTCTCGGCGACGCGTGGTCTACAACTGCAAAGGCATGGGAAAACACGAGTCCCCGTCACGCTGTTCAGCAAATAGGGTTTCCCATCGCCTCAACGGCGCTTGTGGGGGGCGCCGTGGATTGCACTTCTTGATCACGAGCCCTGCCGTCGTCGGAGCCGGAGTTGGACGCTGCTTCCACGGTGGTGACGCTCGGCTAAACACGAAAAACACGACGGAAGCGGCGAGAGGAGGGGACAAAGTAGACATATCGCGAGGTAAAGAGATACGGTAAGAACTGGAGAGGGCCAGGTTGAGCATCGTTTTTCAGAAGGGAAAGAAAAACGACGGGTCTGGGCTGGCGGCAAGCCTCGCCATTGCCTCCACCACTTGAATACGCGTACGACTACCACAACAACAGCTGCATGTTATCTACCTGACGAATACAGACAACAACCTAAGTCGTAGCAGCAACCGAAGACAACAGCAGCGACATAACTAGTCACTTCCACGAATATCCACAGCAACAGGAGTAGCAACGGCAGCGAGAGTAGCAGCGGCAGCGAGAGTGCCTAGTGTACCTTACCAAGGTTCAGACCAACAGAACTAGCAGCAGCAGCAGCAGCAGCAGCAACAACCTGGCCTACCTGGTGGAGAGCGGCCACTCCGCACGCGCCTGCGGGGACGAAGTCTCTAACCCTCTTGTCCCAAGGACACCCGTTCTCGATCGCCCATTGGACCACCTGTACGACGCCCGCACAAAAAAAAAAGGAAAAGGGTTACCCATAGGAGAGAAATCGTTATGAATACTGCTCCGGGAACCGTAGAAGTAAGGATTCGTCATCATACAACACGATGAATTCATGTACAAGCCCATCCCCCACTGTCTGTGGAAGAGATCGATTTGTTATGTTTGGTAACAAAAACTGAAAAAAATGCTAATCCCGGGCTGTCTGTGGAAGGGAATGATCTGTCGTGATTTAAAAAGAAAAATGTAGCAAAACAACATGCCAACAACGGGTATGTATCGGGGTCGGGAATTGGTCGTTTGGAATGAAGACGGGCGGCGGCGTTCGGAGTCTTGCAGGGCTACTGCACCTGGTCTCGTACCAAGCCCGTGTGCCAGCAATTCTTCCAGCAAAGGCATCCCAACCATATGTGTTCAAGGGTCCGACGGGAAATTCGGTTCACCTGAACGTTTCCTTCAGCAATTCTCAGAACCAGTAACGTCAACCAATCGCAACGCGTGCCTAAACCAAACTCCAGTCGTTACAGGTAAGCAAATCAGACGGGACGTTACCACAAGGGCAGCCAGGAGTTACGCGTAAAGTAGACGGGAGAGATCAGAACCCGTCCAGGCGGTCGCGCGTTCAGTACCCAGCACCCACCTCCATGTGGCCCTCTTCCGCCGCGAAGGCACACACGTCCTCGTCCCACGGGCAGCCCTTCGACCGACACCACTGGAGCACCTGTCGTAGTCGTGTAGTTAATGTCGTTAACGTTGTTGATGTCGTCGTCGTTTTCCACATCATTGCCGTTGTTGATGTATTGGTTGTGCGATCGATCGAGCGACAGGAACACAGCGCAAGGCACCGAGACCGTAGCACACCGCCAGAAAACAAGAAAAAAAGAGGTAAACGAAACCAACAAACGCCGCCACAGCCGAGGGACACGAGCGAGAAACCCGCCCTTCCCTCCCGTGTTTGAAACGCAAACACAAACACACACACACACACACACAACACGAAACCAAAGCTCTCTGCGTAAGCCCTTTTGTTCCACGTTGGCGCCGAAACCAAATCGTCGCGGTCACCATGTTCGAGGCAAAACCCAAAACCTCGGCATCGAATACCTACCGCTACACAAAATTGGCGCCGAAAAAACAAAAACAATAGTTGCGGTCGTCACCCCACCCACCACCACACCGCCCCCCCCTCTGCTCACACATGGGAAGGGTCTTCGCGAGAAATACCTTTCACGAGCAAGCACAAGAGAGTTGGTGTGCAGACCCGATGCGAACACTATCCGAACTTCCCCGATTGAATGTTTGTTACGTTTTTTAAATCCAACATGTGTACTACTTGCTAGAAGATCCCTACCAAGGTCACTACCGTCATCATAAACACATTCCCGTCCGACTGCTGTGGTAACATCTCGAACGGGACGTGACTTGTAGTCCCTGCAGTTGTATCTACTATGCCGAATACCTCAAGGTGGCCTCCCTCCGCCGCCAGCTCGCACGTGTACTCGTTCCAGGGGCACCTGTTCTGCCAGCAGTACTTGACGACGTCCAGGTGCCCGCCCGATGCTGCGGAAGCGAACACTTCCTCGTCCCAGGGGATGTCGTTAGACCGCGCCCACTTGAGCAACTGCGTCCGACGGAGGTGAACGGAGAGAGGCACGGGGGAGTCGAGCTCAGTAGGCGTCTGACAACCGGGATCATCGTCTGTCTCACGTCGTCAACTCGTTTTTGTGAGACTCACCCCTGCTGACACGTCAAAAAGGTACCGAAAGGTGATGCAGGTGGACTGGCGCCAGAAAACATGGGGACGAATACACACACTCGCAGACCTTCTTTACGTTTTTACCCGCACTGAGACCGACGTATTGTCATTGGACAGCCCATCAGAAGCGCAGCCGACGCTACGAACATCACACCCGAATACATCAGTAGCTCGCATTGGCTCATGTACTCCCTGTCGGAACAATGCATGGTGTCCGGAAATCATGTCTCAGCACACGAAGACCCGCCGCACACACACACACACAAAACCCTACTAAACGACCAGACTGGGCGAAATTTTCACAGTTCGACCGATCAGAGGCGTGTGGTCCTTCCCCCAAAGAAGCGAGCGACAAGAGCCAAGAGCACAAACGAACGACACAACCACAACGATAAAAAAGAACGACCACGGTTGCGGAATAGGTCAGCAGAAGAACGTGGGCGTACACAACAAGGGACCGGCAAACAAACCCCGCGGCAGCACGCCAGCCCAGACCCAACTGTACGCGTAACCACATCCCGCCAACCTCGAGGTGTCCCGATCCGGCCGCAGTGATGCAGATCCTGGCGTCGAGGTGGCCGCCGTTGTCCTTGCACCACTTGAGGACCTCCAGGTGCCCCTGCTCCGCCGCGAAGCGGCAGGCGTCCGCATCCCACGGGGCCCCGTTCTCACGCGCCCAGCGCAGGGTGTTGAGGTGCCCCTCGTAGATGGCCGACGTACACGTTGCCTTGTCCCAAGGGCATCCCTGGTGTCAACATCAACGATAACAGCAGCGGGTGGGAGGTTGCAAATGTGCACGGGTTGTTTCATGCATGGGAAGCACCTCTCCTCAGGACGACAACAACTAATCGATGACAGCAGGCAGGGCTGCCGGCCGCCCCTCCGGTTGCTGCAGAAAGAAGGTGGAGACCTGCGCGGACGGGAAGAAGGCTTCTGAATCGGAGGGTAGCATCACCCCTTCAGGAAACCCTCAAGGGCGAAGTTCGGGCGCCGACGGAAGGGCTATTGTAGCTACTCCGAACAAGCGCGGTAATCTGAAAACGTCAACCCTCCCCCAAGCAAGACAATTCGCAACAAGATGGGATACATAGATCGTGTACGTTTGTATCACGTTCGGGGCCGGCTACTGCAATCCCTCTTTGCGCTCTCCACCATCGTATATACAAACAAGCATAGAAACGCACGCGCGCGTGTCAATACCCCCCCCCCCCCCCCCCCCCCCCCCCCCCCCCCCCCCCCCCCCCCCCCCCCCCCCC